AGGTCTTTTCCTTCAGTAAGTTAACTGGCCACTCATTCACTGAACGGGAGCGATTCCTGCCCGGGCCAGGTGGCTCCACTGGTTGGAGCGTTGTCCCTTACACCAGAAGGCTGCAGGTTCAATTCTGGTCAGGGCTTCATGGATGTTTCTCACATCCATGTTCCTCCCCAAACCCCTTTATAAAATCTATTAAAACATATCCTGGATGAAGATTAAGACAAAATTTTTTTTTTACTAATTCCTTAATTTTTATTCCCCTAGGAGCTAATTATGTGTTGATAATAATCCCTGGCGCTTAAGAATACTGCCTTCCACTAAAAGGAGGTATTCTTTATCGTGAGCAGGCACTAGATGGAAAACGCTACTTTAGAACTTGTCTCTCTGTCCTAGCCGGCTTGGCTCAGGGGATAGAGCATCGGCCTGCGGACTGAAGGGTCCCAGGTTCGATTCCCGGTCAAGGCTCAATCCCCAGTAGGGGGCATGCAGGAGACAGCTGATCACTGATTCACTCTCCCTTCTTCTTTGAAATCAATAAAAATATATTTAAAAAAACACACACACACTTGTCCCTCATCTTTCAAACTGAGTTTTCTTGAAAGTGATCCTATAACCTCAAGGGGAGGAGACTCAAGAGCGTCTGCATGTAAACACTGGATTTAACACCTTGGACATCGGTGTGAATGTGAGGCATGAACAGAGGAAAAGGCAGTGCAGACTGTCCCTCCTGACAGGCTTTCTTCAGAAATACAATCTGGTCTGGGGAGGAAGCCTCCTCACCCCCAGCCACTCCGACAGGAGCCGGCGCGGGAGCAGAACGGCTCCTTCTTCAATCACTGGCCAGTGAGCGGTGAGCTGTAACCGGAGCACACTGTAATCCCAACAGCACTTAATCCACCACGCTCCCTCTCATTACTGGTAGGTGTCTTAAATTGTCCAGTTTCAAGCAGACAAAACACAAAGGGTAATTAATGAAGATACAAGCTAAGCTATCTGGAGGTGGGAAGGGGGGTGTAAGAGGGGAAAAAGACCAGCTCAGTCTTGACAGACAGAACAAAGGTGTTGCCACTTGAATTTCTGTCTCCATTTCCTCGTCATCAAATGTTGCCAAGCAGCCAAGCTAACTGAGCCGGGCAGCCCACGTTTGGTTCAGCACGGAGCCTTCCAAAGTGTCTCCAATGCCAACATTGTAGCCATTACCTCCAGAAGCCCAGCTGGACAGACTCCAGAACACACACACACAACCTGTGCCGGCTCCTAATCAGAAAGGCAGGGAAGAGAAGGGACTTCCCCACAGTGTCCTGCTTGCTACCTGTTAGCAACTGGAACCTCATATCTGCAATTTTCAAACACAAAACCCAGGCGGTGAGTTAAACTCAGATTGTATCATCAAATTCTTAGCCTACAAAGAACCATTTCAGTGAGTTATCTTAAAATTTTATGCTTTTCCATAAAATTAGAAGTAAATGAGGAATATTACATATAACTTGTGAAATGTTTGAAACAAAAAAGAACTTAAGATTTGCAAAGTAGGAGGCTGCTCCTTTTTTCCTACTAGAAAAACATATACTGAGGGGATATAAAGCTATTGTGCTGTACACACATGCCTTCGTCTGGCAACTAAGCTAGTTATTACTTAAAGCACCAACTTAATTAATTCTTCCTGAAAATTCCTGAGCGGCTCAAGACCAGGAGGACGTGTATTCCCAGGGCCTTCACACCCCGAAACGCCAACTCTGGGCAAATGTCACAAGACCCGGGCAGCCAGAGCCGGAGTGCTCTGCGGGGCGGTCTGCACCTCGCCAGCCCTCCTCCCGAGCCCAGCCCACGGAAACGTCTACTTACACAGCTCTTCCTACGCTCTCCACACAGGAGGGGCTTTATCCTTCACGTATGGGCAATTCAGTCTTTCACACACGGAAATTAAATCCCAACCTTTAAAATCCAATTTCCAAATGAAACGAGGGATGTCAGTCCTTCCCTCAGACCGCAGCCGCCCAATCAATGGGTGACCAACCCTGGGTCTAGGGAAGGCCCCGGGCCCAGGACTGGGTTGAGAGCGTGCACCTCACAGGCGCCCCCTTCCTGTGGCTAAAAGGGCCTGCACGCACTGGCTGGGCTCCCTGGGAACGTAGCCTGAGCTTGTCCTCTAGCTCCGTGGTCGGCAAACTGTGGCTGTTTGGCCCCTCGAGTGTGGCTCTTCCACAAAATACCTCATCCTGGGCGAGTCTATTTTGAAGAAGTGGCGTTAGGAGAAGTTTAAAAAGTTTGGCTCTCAAAAGAAATGTCAATCATTGCACTGCTGACATCTGGCTCTGTGGACTGATGAGTTTGCCGACCACTGCACTCATGTGTCCTCCCCCACGTGAAGGCTCCGGCAGTCGATAGGCTCGGCAGTGCTCTGATACAGCTTCACGCTTTCCAAGTGTGTTCCTCCTGGAGACCCCTCCATAAACATGGCCTAAGCAACCCCCTTCCAAATGGACCCAGGCTACCCCCGAAGGCCCTCTCCCAGCATGTTACTTTACCGTGTGCAGTTTCAGAATTTAACCCTTTACTGGCTCTTCATGCGGATTGGAAGTTGGGGGGAGTGGGAAGGACGTTGTTATAGCTACACGTTACAATAAAGGGTAAGCTGAATGGCACCTGCAGATAAAGCTCTTCTTGGAGCACTGGTCTCCACCGTAAGCGCAGAGGGGAGGAGGGCAGCAGCAGAGGCTGGGGAGGCTGCCCGGCTTCGCGGTGGCCACAGGATCCCGCTGTGCCGCCTGAGGCTGGACGCCCGGGGCCTGCCTCGGGTCTTCAGTCCACGAGATGTGCCAGCGCCTCGCACGGCAGCCAGCTTACGTTAAGCTTCTAGCACGTGCTCCATGTTGAGTCCAGTACAGGTCAAAGGAGGTGAGAAGTGGGGAGAGGAGTGTACACTCCCAAGAGACTGGATTGCTCCTGGGGCACCCAGAAGAGAACCAGACACACTCGTCTCCCCAGTTCCAGTTCTGCCCAGTTGTCCGACAGTGCATGACTCAATCCCCAGGCAGAAACGGTCGGGGAAGGTGGTGGGATACGCCATCGCCTCAAAGGGTGACACTGTGAAGATTTCAGATCCAAAACTATGAAAAATACCAACTTGGAATGGAGGAGCCACCGCAGGCTGCCCAGGCGGGACCGCCAAGCGCTGCCGCCGAGGACGGAGCTCCCAGCGCTCCCTGCACTGAATGCACCAGTGTTAACTTTCATCCTTTCCCTTCCAAGGATTGATCCCATTTTAGAATCCTATTTCCCTAAACTGAAAAGCAAAATTGTCAAAAGCAGCGAGTCTTTGTGTTTGTCAAACATTTACCTACTTAAAAATAAGTTGTGTGAAGAAAACATGTTTTGTTGCTGTTTAATCTTTATTTAGGCCAAGGGACTCGGGCACAGCTCGCCCTGTTACAACGTCCTATCTGTGGTGCCGGCCTCCTCCTCTTCCTCCTCCTCCTCCTCACCCTGCCCTCCTGTGAGGGTCTCAAGGAGCGGACGGAATGACTCTTTAAACCAACTGTATTGTGGGGCTTCCCTGAAGTAGGGTAAAACCATGCATGCTCCAGTGCAGAGCATACAAAACACACCAGCACACGCCTGTCTGGCGAAGGAAACCCCAGTATCACACCTGCAGCCGGCTCACCGGGCTGAGGACAGGGGCTGGGGCTCTCACTGCCAAGGCTGATGAGCCCGTATGCCTGCCCACACCCTGACCCTTTCCTCCCTGAAACACGGGAACAGGAGGAACCTCAGAAACTGCGTTTCCCGGGACCTGTGGTGTCTCCTAAAAAGCACAGGCAAAGGAGGAGGGGGCTTGAACAATTTCCATGGATCTAAAAATGTCTCCTTTTCAATAACGTGCTTGTTTTCCTGGCCCCCGTTCTCTCTGTGCAGCGTCCCTGGGGGAGGAGGGGGACTGCTCCAGCCACCATCGCATTTCCCCAATCCTGGGACAGCAAGCTTGGGAACACCAGGGCCCCTGACCAGGCAGCGGTGTCCTTTCTCCTCCCGACGGTGTGCAGCCTCCTGGCTCTGCGCTAAGGCCGGCCAGGATCCAGGCTGAATTTCACCCCAAACTTCCTAACAGCTGCTCCTCAAAAGCAGGGTTCAACAAAGGGCGCCCAGGCCTCTCGCACTGGGAGAGGCTCGGCTCCAGCAGTTCAGGCGTAGGAAGTAGTTTTTATTGCACCTGGAAAAAAAGCACGCGCACATGCACACACGCACACGCACACACACACACACGCCGTTACCGCCTTCACGGAGGGAGGGCTGCAGCGCCGGGAGGCGTCCTTCCCGGCACCGGGACGAGGAGCTGCCTCCGGGCCGCGTTGGTGCCGGTGCCGGTGCCGGAGCCGGAGCCGGAGCCGGAGCCGGAGCCGGTGCCCGGACTGCAGGTCTGCCTCCCGCACACCTGGTCGCCCTCCCGCTCGGCCGGAGGGCACGGGCCATGCGGGAGGCTCACACAGGTCGCGACCGGGAGCCTGAGCCGGCTAACGGCCCGGGGCCGCCAGGCTGCAGTCAGGGAGGAGCCGGACGGTGACCGGGGCGGCGGCCGGGGCGGCGGGGTCCGGGCTGCACACGCTGGAGCGGGTAACGGAGCGGACGGTTCCGGCGGAGGCGGCGGCGGAGCGGAGGCGGCGGCGGGCACAAGGCGGCTTCGCGATCGACCACGGGCGCGGGGCCGGGCGCTCGCGCGTGTCCTCCCGAGGCCCTTCCACGGGACCCGCGGCCCCCGCCGCCGCCGGGAGCCGGGCACACCCTCCGCCCGCGCCCGGGCACACCCCCGCCGCCCGCGCGCACGCGGCCCGGCCGAGCCGGCGGCCACGAGCCCGCGCCGCGGACGCCCGCCCCGCCCGCCCCGGCCCGGCCCGGCCCGGCCCGGCCCGGCCCGGCCTCCCCCGGCCCCGCGGGAAGGCGAGGGGCGGCGGCCGGCGTGAGGCGCCCGCGCGGGAGGGAAGCGGTTCTGGGGGAAGGTCACTCACCCGCTGCATGACTTTCAGGATCAAGGCCAGCTCGTAGCGGGGCATGGCCGACGCGCGGCGGCAGCTCGGACCGCGGCTCGGGCGCTGAGGAGGGCGGGCGGGCGGCGGGCGGCGGGCGGCGGGCGGCGGGCGGCGGGCGGCGGGCGGCGGGCGGCGGGCGGCGGCGAAGGCACGCTCGGGCCGCGCGAGCCCGGGTTTAAAGGCTCGGCAGCCGCGCACGCCGCGCGCCACTTCCCGGCGCAGGCCACGCCCCCGTGCGGGCCACGCCCCCTCCTTAAAGGGGCCGCGGCCCCTCGGAAGCCCCGCTCCCCGCGGCGAGCGGCCCCCCGGGGACCGCGGTGCGGCGCCGTGGCGCCGGGACAGCACGGTGGGCTCGGCCGGCGGGGCCCACGGAGGCCCCGCGCCCCTCAGGTCTCGGCGCCGCCGCCGCGCCTGCTCCGTCGGGCCCGGGAGCCGCTGGAAATTTCCATGCCCTCCGTGCATCCCGGGCGGCGGGCGCCGAGTGCGCGTGCGCCGCGGCTCCTCCGCGCGCCCCTCGCCCACGGCTCCCGCGGGAGAGCCGTCCCCGCGCCGCGCTCCCTCCTCCGGGGGGGTCCGGGCTGTCCCGCCCCCGGAAGCGCTCGGAGGTTCCGGAACGTTCCCGCCGGCTCCGCGCGCCCCCCGCGGGGCTGCACGCGGCCTCGCCGCCGCCTGACCTTGCCAGGCCCTGCAGCCGGGGCGGGGGACGGGGACGGGGACTGGACCGGCCCCCTCCCGGGGCAGCGATGCCATGGAGCGAGCTGGGAGCCGTGCCTGCTCCCGCGGGAGCGACACCGGCGCCGGCCTTGTGAGCGGCGGGACCCACGTGCCGTCAAGGGCAGGCTGACGCTTTGGCCCAAACCGCTGTCCTCTGTGCCGCCTCCATTGGGGCCCGCGGGGCCTGTAAGCCGACAGTCCGGGCAGCGCGTGCCCCTGCCCGCCCCTGCAGCCTGGGCCTGGGCCACTGCATGCGCTTTCCCCAGCGCCGCCATGGCGGAGGCCCCTGCAGCTGCCGCCCGGCGGGGCTCCCCATCCAAAGGGTCTCCAACTTGAATGAAATGTGCAGCGATGACAACGGGTACAACTTCCTCAGACTCGCTGTGTATCAGGCCCCACGCTAAGGCTTGTACGCGTCTGCCATAAAATTCTCAACAGCGGTATGAAGCAAGTACCTGTGATTATTTTTTAGTCCTTTCCCAAGCATATGGTTTTATTGGTATTTAAAGGGAGGAGGCCAGAGAGAGGGAGAGAGAGAAAAATTGATGCCAGAGAGAAACATCCGTCAGTTGCCTCCCATAGGCACCTGGACCAGGGACCGAACCCACCACGTGGGTATGTGCCCCGTGACCCCGTATCCTTTGGGTGTACCTGACGATGCTCCAAGTAACTATTCTAACCCCACTTGAGGGATCCCAAAATATAGGCACGCAAAGGTTATGTAATTGCCCTGAGTCAAACATGAATAGAAACAAAATACGGACCCAGACTATCTGATGGCTTAGTCCAGCCTCTGCTCTTCCTACCACACAGTTTGGAGGTGTTGACATTATGCTGTGGACTTCCACATAAAACAAGGCTAGAGTCCCCTTTGTCACCTTACCCGGTACTCACCGTCTCATCTACTAACCATCCCCCACAGGAGGCAAGGACGGTAACCTTTTCTGTGAAATCTGGCTTCTAATATTTGGCATTCTTGGGCTTCTCCATAACCCATTCGTCCAAAGGGAAACAGTACAGTATTCATATGAGTTACCTGTGAGTGTGGACTACTTTCACCCTCAGTTAAGAGTGGACTACTGTAAATAAGTAACAGAAGGAAGCAAGGCATTCCTGTACCTTGGAAAGTGAGATACAGGTTCCCCAGGGTGGTCCCCATTTCAACTGCCCCACGTCCCAGTTTAGGAATTAGAAAATATGGGCGTGGAAATAATATGTCTGCCCAACTGATCCCTAATCCCATCCATGAGTGAGGATCTGACCTCCCTCCACTCCCTCTAACCTGACAGGTGGCATAAGGAAATTAGCCTGATTGCATAACATCTGGACACCTCTGACCCTCCCAATCTGGTATGTACCCACCAGCTCCTTCCATTTCTTCTGAAGGGAGAGAGAGGGCATCTATCCTGATTTGCCCCCTTTGGCATTTTTTTTTTTTTAAGTTCAGCCCCAGACTGCTGGTGGGGTCATTAAAAATCCATAATCAGATCACAGGGAATGCTGCTGCAAATTTAGTTATCTTCCTACTGGAACCACAAACTTCGCCAAAAAAATTTTTAAATTTTATACTATGCATACTCAGCACTCAGAAATATAAGACACTGCTGCCGAATCTAATGTATTAATTTTAAAGAAATAATTCTGATACTTAGGAATAAGTTAACCAAGGCAGTGAAAAATCTGTACACTGAAAACTATAAGACATTGATGAAAGAAATTAAAGCAGACACAAGTAAATGGAAAGATATACCATGTTCATGGATAGGAAGAATTAATATCGTTAAAATGCCCGTAGTACTCAAAGAAATCTGTAGATCCAATGCAATTCCTATCAAAATCCCAATGGTATATTTTACACAAGTGGGGGGAAAGTCATGAAATTCACATGGGATCACAAAAGACCCAGAACAGCCAAAGCAACTTTGAATGAGAAGAACAAGGCTGGAGGCATCACACCTCCTGATTTCAAACTATACTACAAAGCTATAGTAATCAAAAGACAATAACACTGGCACAAAAACAGGCAGGCCTGTGGACCATGGGACAGAATAGAGAGCCCAGAAATGAACTCAAGCATGGACAGCCAACTGTTCTTTGACAAGGTTGCTGAGGATACGCAATGAAGAAGCGTTAGTCTCTTCGATAAATGGTGTTGGGAAAACGGGATCTCCACATGCAAAAGAATGACACTTTATCATATACCACAGGCAAAAAAAACAACTCAAAATGGATTAAAGCCTTGCACATAAGATCTGAAACCATGAAACTCCCAGCTTCCCTGCCCTGAACCAGGTGGTGGGAGAACCTGCCGAACCAACCAGGAAGGCTTTCCCTCTTGGGAGGCCTGCAGGGGCACCTCCAGCCGGAGCGGATGCCAAGGGGGCAGCGGGCTGGCAGGGACCAGCTCCCAGGGCATCGCAAAGGCCACGGGGAGGGGGAGGGGGCTCGTGACACTTAAAGTCGAGGGTCAGGAGATGGAGTCTCGGTCCGGTGACTGGGTGGTGGAGGGAGCTCGCGTGGCAGACGTCAGAGGTGGCCCTGGTGTCTTCTCCAGAAACAACACATCTTCTGTCCTGGTCACCCCCTCCTGGCATTTCCTCGGCTGCTCGTTCATCGCATTCCTGTCTTTTCTCCCGATGTCTTTTCTTCCTAGGTTTTCGTAGCAAGATCATAATCTCCCGAGGAAGATTATGCTCTAAATAACTCCCTCCTCAGGACTTGAACCAAAAAGAGGAGGGCAGAAGTCCTGGGGTCTGGGTGGCATCCACCGGCCGGTGACCTGCCACCGCAGGCAGGAATGCCGAGGGGAGGGTGTGACCTTCTGGGAAGGTCAGAGCCGGCTCCGTGCGGTCCTCCCACCCCCGTGGCCGGCTGTGGATTCCCCCGGGGACATGCCCTCCGCACACCAGGCAGGTGGCACAGACATTTGGTGACAGGAGCGAAGCCCATCGGGAGGTTACGCCCAACAGTGACGCAGCCGCCGTCAGCTCTGGGCAAGTCCGCTTCCGGCAGCCGGGGCTGCGGCCTCTGTGGGTCAGCGGGGCTGTGCCTCCCCCGGGAAGAGGAGGGCAGGGAGGTAAGCGAGCAGGAGGCCGAGGGGACTCCAGCTGAGAACATGCAGGAAGTACGCGGTGGAGACAGCGAGGCCAAAGCCCTCATGAGCAGCCCCGAGGGCGGATTCGATCAGGATGCCCTATTATCGATAGATCATCGGACATCGTTTTTTAAAAATAAAGGTAATGGCAACCATGGCAGCACCTATCTATGCTGCAAAAACTAAAATATTTCTGCCCTAGTTGGGTTGCTCAGTGGAGAGTGTCGGCCTGCAGACTGAAGAGACCCTGGGCAGGACACGTGCCCAGGTTGCTGGCCACATCCCCAGTGGGGGGCGTGCAGGAGGCAGCTGACCCATGATTCTCTCTGATCACTGATGTTTCTACCTCTCTCCCTCTCCCTTCCTCTCTGAAATCAGTAAAAATATATTTTTTACAAAGTAAAGAATCAAGACTCCTTACGTGCAGCCACAATGACTGGGACTGTTGGGTGAGGCCTCCCGCGATAGGAGAGTTTGCTCCCAGCCTGCACTTCCTCTTCCGGCCTGTGTATCCTGAGACCTGAGGAGACGGGGAGCATCTCGGAGGTCAGCTCCCGACCTCCATGTGAAACTGGAGAAACCGTACTGACGGCGGCCCCGGCCTCTGGAGAGCAGTGCCCCCAGAGCGAGTGCGGCGACCGTGCTGCTGTGGCCCGCGCCCACAGGGGCTGGCACGGCGGCGATGGGCCGTTTACGGAGCTTTCGTTGTTTTCCTTTCCCTCCGCTCCAATGGCCTTCGAGCGGGACGCCGGCTCCTCAGTCACCATCCCCAGTGAGTGCCCGGTGACCTGAGACAGCTGGCCAGGAGAGGAACGGAGACAGCTCTGGGCTTGGGGGGAGAGCTGTGGGCCTGAGGCGGTGGGGCCTGAGGTTAGAGCCAGATGGTTAGAGCCTCTGAGGGAACAGGCAGGGACCAATGCAAATGCAAACCCCTCTCTGCACAGCCCAGGACTTCCCAGCCCCCATGCCCTCAGGGGCAAGTCCAGACTCCGCCCAGGAATTTGGGAGCCAGGCCCTGGCTCCATAGGGGCCCCTGTCTGTCTCCTCGGGCCACTCCTCAACACACACATCGTCCTGTCTGCAGGCCCCCAGCTCTGCAGGCATTTCCCTCCTGCCCTTTGCCCTTTGCCCTCCGCCCGGAGCACATTCCACTTCCTTGTCCCAGCCTACTCCTGTCACCAACCACCCCGTGTTTTTTTAAATGCTTTTTTATTGACTAACAGGATTTAAGTCTCGATTCTGAAGAATAGAAAATGTGTAAAATGACAGTGATTAAACGCCTAATAAAGAGTTCAGAAAACAGCTCCCACAGAGCGCCTCCTGGGGGCGGGTGGTTGGGATGTTCGGTGTGGAAGGCGGGTTTGAGCTGGAGTACAGAGTGGGTGGCATGTAGGTGAGGGGAAGGAGGCCCGGAATAAAGACAGTTGTCGGGTGGGTTCCAGAACAGCGACTTTCAGGAGCTGAGTTTGACGGGAAGAAAACTTTCTGTAGAAGAATCACCGAGATTACGGCGACAGAAACGGGGCCGGCGTTGGAGGGCGGTGAGTGCCCGGCGGAATACTGTACTTCCTCCTGACCTGAAGAAGGCAGGCAGACTTGGCCTGGCCAGTGTGGCTCAGTGGATAGAGCGTCGGCCTGCAGACTGAAGGGCCCAGGCTTCGATTCCGGTCAAGGACACGTATGTAGGTTGCAGGCTCCACCCCTGGCCCTGACCGGGCTTGTGCGGGAGGCAGCCAACCAATGGGTCGCTCGCTCTCATAGGGTTGTTTCTCTGTGTCTCCCCTTCCCTTCCACTCTCTCTCGTAAAAAAAAGCAGGCAAGGCCTCTACCTCTGGGATTGATACTTCCCTCAGCAGGGAACGAGGGAGAAGCTGAGGAGGTGGCGCAACTTCCCTGACCGGGCACGTCCCTCGGAACCCCGGGCCCCGGCCACCGTGGCAGGCTCTGAGAGCGCCTGAGCGGCGGCACAGGAGTCCATCCGATCAGACACCGGCTCCTCCTCTGGGCCTGGCTGTCCGTCCGACCGAACACCTGCTCCTCTGGGCCTGGCTGTCCGTCCGACCGAACACCGGCTCCTCTGGGCCTGGCTGTCCGTCCGATCGGACACCGGCTCCTCCTCTGGGGCCTGGCTGTCCGTCCGATCGAACACCTGCTCTTCTGGGCCTGGCTGTCTGTCCGATCGGACACCTGCTCTTCTGGGCCTGGCTGTCCGTCCGATCGGACACCGGCTCCTCTGGGCCTGGATGTCCGTCCGACCGAACACCGGCTCCTCTGGGCCTGGCTATCCGTCCGACCGAACACCGGCTCCTCTGAGGTCTGACTGTCCATCCGACCGAACACCTGCTCTTCTGGGGCCTGGCTGTCCGTCCGATCGAACACCTGCTCTTCTGGGGCCTGGCTGTCCGTCCAATTGGACACCGGCTCCTCTGGGCCTGGCTGTCCGTCCGATTGAACACCGGCTCCTCTGGGGTCTGGCTGTCCGTCCGATCGAACACCGGCTCCTCTGGGCCTGGCTGTCCGTCCAATTGGACACCGGCTCCTCTGGGCCTGGCTGTCCGTCCGATCGAACACCTGCTCTTCTGGGGCCTGGCTGTCCGTCCAATTGGACACCGGCTCCTCTGGGCCTGGCTGTCCCTCCGACCAAACACCTGCTCCTCTGGGGCCTGGCTGTCCGTCCGACCGAACACCTGCTCCTCTGGGCCTGGCTGTCCGTCCGACCGAACACCTGCTCCTCTGGGCCTGGCTGTCCGTCCGACCGAACACCGGCTCCTCCTCTGGGCCTGGATGTCCGTCCGATCGGACACCGGCTCCTCCTCTGGGCCTGGCTGTCTGTCCGACCGAACACCTGCTCCTCTGGGCCTGGCTGTCCGTCCGATTGGACACCGGCTCCTCTGGGCCTGGCTGTCCGTCCGACCGAACACCTGCTCCTCTTGGCCTGGCTGTCCGTCCGATTGGACACCGGCTCCTCTGGGGCCTGGCTGTCCGTCCGACCGAACACCGGCTCCTCTGGGCCTGGCTGTCCGTCCGACCGAACACCTGCTCCTCTGGGCCTGGCTGTCCGTCCGACCGAACACCGGCTCCTCCTCTGGGCCTGGATGTCTGTCCGATCGGACACCGGCTCCTCCTCTGGGCCTGGCTGTCTGTCCGACCGAACACCTGCTCCTCTGGGCCTGGCTGTCCGTCCGACTGGACACCGGCTCCTCTGGGCCTGGCTGTCCGTCCGACCGAACACCTGCTCCTCTTGGCCTGGCTGTCTGTCCGATTGGACACCGGCTCCTCTGGGGCCTGGCTGTCCGTCCGATTGGACACCGGCTCCTCTGGGCCTGGCTGTCCGTCCGACCGAACACCTGCTCCTCTGGGGTCTGGCTGTCCGTCCGACCGAACACCTACTCCTCTGGGGCCTGGCTGTCTGTCCGATCGGATACCGGCTCCTCCTCTGGGCCTGGATGTCCGTCCGACCGAACACCAGCTCCTCTGGGGTCTGGCTGTCCGTCCGACTGAACACCTGCTCTTCTGGGGCCTGGCTGTCCGTCCGACCAAACACCGGCTCCTCTGGGGTCTGGCTGTCCGTCTGACCGAACACCGGCTCCTCTGAGGTCTGGATGTCCGTCCGATCGGACACCGGCTCCTCTGGGGCTTGGATGTCTGTCCGACCGAACACCGGCTCCTCTGGGCCTGGCTGTCCGTCCGACCGAACACCGGCTCCTCCTCTGGGCCTGGCTGTCCGTCCGACCGAACACCAGCTCCTCTGGGGTCTGGCTGTCCGTCCGACCGAACACCGGCTCCTCTGAGGTCTGGATGTCCGTCCGATCGGACACCGGCTCCTCTGGGGCTTGGATGTCTGTCCGACCGAACACCGGCTCCTCTGGGCCTGGCTGTCCGTCCGACCGAACACCGGCTCCTCCTCTGGGCCTGGCTGTCCGTCCGACCGAACACCAGCTCCTCTGGGGTCTGGCTGTCCATCCGACCGAACACCGGCTCCTCTGAGGTCTGGATGTCTGTCCGATCGAACACCGGCTCCTCCTCTGGGGCCTGGCTGTCCGTCCGACCGAACACCGGCTCCTCTGGGCCTGGCTGTCCGTCTGACCGAACACCGGCTCCTCCTCTGGGGTCCGGATGTCTGTCTCATGCCGGCTCCTCTGGGGTCTGGGGAAACGGTGTCCAGGCTGTGAAGCCACGGGCCCTGGGGGTGAGAAGTGCCCACAGACGGGGTGCCTGGCCGAGGGGAGGGAGGGCTAGCGTGGCAGGGACTGTCTCAGAGGCAGGAGGAGCCCGTGGGAGAGGGCAGAGACGCCTCCGTGGGCCCAGGGGGGAGCCGAGCCGAGGTGTCCGGGGGAAACAGACCGAAGCACCAGGATCCAGAGGAGTCAGGGTTCCGGCTCCACGTGACAGCAGCAGGCCCCATGCTGCAGACCGAGTGCACTGGTCAGGATGGCATTGGGGGTCACAGAACTGGCCGGAGACAGAGGCACCTTACACACAGCAGATTGGCCCCCTATGGGTGAGGCTGGGGGAGGGGCTGGGGAGGGGCTGGGTCAGGAGGGCTGGGGGAGGGGCTGGGGAGGGGCTGGGTCAGGAGGGCTGGAGGAGGAGCTGGGGGGAGGGGCTGGGGAGGGGCTGGGGAAGGGGGCTGGAAGAGGGGGTTGGAGAGGGGCCGAGGGAGGGGGATGGGTTTCATGGCCTGGACTCCGGCCCTGCTGCAATGCCCGGTGCCTGGATGGCCAAGGGGCTCACTGTCCGTGGGCAGGACAGGCAGGCTCTTGTCTGGAGGGGTGTGATGTGCGCCTGTGGGTCCCACATGAAGCCTCAAGCTTGGGCCTGGGGTTCCAGTTGGGACACAGGTCTCGGCTATTCTGTCCCCACACGCCTCCCGCAGGGTCCCTCAGGGGCCCGGGAAAGAACATTCCAGAGGGCGCGGGAGGGTAAACGCTGGCCTCTCACTCCTGGCTGGGCGGAGGGAGGTGGATGCTCCCTGCCGGTGCCACAGCCACGCAGCACGGTGACGTGGCCTCGTGGCTGGTGTATTGTCCCCAGTGCTCGTCCTGCGGAGCGCCCTACCCACATGGGCTGCCGTCCCGTAGCTGAGCCGCCACTCTGTGTGCCAGTACCCCCCGCCCCCCTCCTGTGAGCGCCTCCGGGGCGTGGGAGACAGGCCCTGCATCCGGCCAGCCATCTGCCAGCAGCCGCTGCTGTTCCCCGGGGGACACCCCACGGCACCCACATTGTTTCCCGTGGCCTGAGTCCACTCCTGGCGCCGTGCCCTCCCCAGTGGCCCGAGAGCCGCTCCCAGGCCGGTGTCCGTGGCCTCGGGAGCCTCTGGCAGTGTCCCTCCGGGCTGGGCTGTGTCTGTGTCTAACAGTATTCGTACATCGTAAAGGGACAACCCAGAACAATCCAGAACGGCGCCTGCCTGCCCCACCAGGGAGGGCTCCCAGTGGAGCCTGGGAACCTCCCTGATCAACAGAGACACCCCAGCCTGGCCCTGGCCACGGCCACGGCCACGGCCACGAAGGGTGAGGAAGGCAGAGTGACCCAGCGCTGGGGTCCCTGAGGACACAGGGGGTGTCAAAGGAAGTTCAGGGTTTTCAAATGTCACCGTGTGCAAGTCCCACTGACACGTCATCACCGAAAACGAGGGGAACAGGAAAAATGCCCAGAATCCCACAGTCCACGCGGAGCCCCGGCGCCTGGCCTCGCTCTGGACGCTGGGGGTGAGCTCAGGGCTGTGAGCACTGAGCACGTCACCCCGTGTCCCACCTGCTCCCTTACCATCGCGCTGCAGCCCGGCTGTGAGCTCACAGATCTCTGCCCATCACCAACCCTGGCTCCTCACCAGGAAGGCCGCTGTGCCCCATTCCGGGAGGTTCAATCCACACTCCCCTCCCTCCCCCAACCCGGCGGGGTCTGCCCAGCACCTGGCCCTGTGCTGCGGGCCGCGCCCTCTGCTCACCCTGACGGTCGCTCCTGGCTCCTGGGTCTCCGCACGGTTTTCCTGGGGGGCAGCCTCCGGGCTGAGCAGCCTCGGACCAGCACCAGAACCAGGGAAACGGAGACCCCACAGGGGAACCCTGTGGCCTCAGGACCCGAGAAACTGACCGAACCTTCCAGGCGGGGCGAGCGGTCCGAGGCCCCAGGAGGAGGGACGGGAGCGATGGGAGGCGAGTCTGGGAGCCGGTGCCAAACACCGCGTGTGCTGTGTCTAGACAGGAGCCGCCCACGGCCAGGTGCCAGGGCCCGCCCCCCTCCAGCACCCACCTGCCCGGCGGACGGCTCAGTGCCCGTAGGCGGCGGGCTGGGCGAGGGACTGCGGAAATCAGGTGGAGCGGACCTGGCCATCAGTTCCCTGCAGGTGCTCGGGAAGTTACTGAAAGCAGAAGCTGCCCCTCCCGCTGGCTCCCAGAAGCCCCCTCCACGTCCCCCCCAGGCCACGGCAGCCCCCGAAAAGGCGCCCCAGCACCCACCCTGCTCGGCTCCTGCCGCCGCCTGAGCACAGGGCCCTCCTCCCCTCCTGGGTTTTCCCTGCCCAGTCGGTCCCGCGGGCAGGCTTGCTCGCTGCCATTACGCTCGATGGCAAGGTCCTCGCGCAGGTGGCAGGGGTTCCTTGATCCAGGGGTGGGGGACGTGTCTCCCGCCCCCGGCCATTTGTGTATTTATAACATCATTCTCGGGCCACGCACGATTATCCACTTAAATGTGGCGCGCCGGCGTGGCCATGGCCTCCTCAGCCCCAGGGCACCTTCTGTGCCGCACCAGCTCGGCCAAGGGTGAGCCTGAGAGGGGGTGAAGGATGGAGAAAAGACAGACAAGGTAATAAAGCTGGGTCTGGGTGGGATACTGCTCCCGGGAAGAGAGAGCCACAGGTTACACGCCGTGTCTTTATTTTACAGCCGACGCCACGAGGCACAGGAAGGGCGTGGCCAAGATGTTTACAGCATTCTCGTGGCCTTCGATCCTACTCAGCTACACGCACCTGAACCCTATCAAGCCCACGTTTCTCAGGCACGTGGGGCCACGTGCTCGGACCACAGGTGCACACTCACAACCACAGCTGTTGGCTGTCATGGTGCTGGGAGACTCTGCCCTCCACGCTGGGACCTGCACGTGGCCATGGGGACTGTGCCCTCTCATCAGTCCAAAGCTTGGACCTGTCCAGACGCTGTAGCCGCGCCCCACACTTAAAAATGCACCTGATGTGTCTGGTCCAGCGTTTAACTCCTCCAATGCCTTGGCCGGGCCAGAGCGAGTGATCTCTCGGGCTTCTTACCGTTAACTCTGGCACCACCACCGTCAACAGCGTGCGGTCCTCTGCTTCTTCCTCCCTCTGGCCTCCCGGTCCAGCCCGAAGGCTCCCTCCCTGAGCTCCCTGCTCCCGATCGGGCTGCTCGCAACCCCAGGCCCCTCTCCCGGGGCGGGCTCCAGGCCCGCATCTCAGCCCACAGACATCGCTCTCCCAGGTCCCGGCAGCTCAGGTCCCGGCACGCCTCGCCCAGCCCGGCCTGTGGGTGACAGCGGCACCCAGGGGGTACGCCAGGAACTGACAGCACCCCCCCTCCCCGGCTCCATCCCACTGCTCCGTGCCCATGCAGGCAGCCACCAGACAGCTCTCAAACCCATCCCTCCTCCGACCACCGCACTGCAGGGCTCCGCAAGGCGCTCCCACAAGCTCCCCACCGAGGGTGGCTCCCAGCACCAGCCTCCTCCAGCCCCAACCCCACCAGCTCCTTCCCCACCGAAAACCCCACCCGCTCCCCAGCAAGGACGTCGCAGGGTGACACCCATCCATCCATCCATCCATCCCTCTGCTCACTCGCTCACTCGCTCGCTCGCTCAGCCAATGCTTCTGGAGGCCCTGCCATCGGCCGGCACTGTGCAGAGTACACGTTGGGGACTAGAGCTGACACGGTGACGTGATGCTCCATGAAAGTCAACGTCATTGAGAATGGCTCTTTCCCAGACAGATCCTGCTCAGCCTCAGCGCACCCTGCTCACACTATGCAGCCACGCCCACAGCCCTGAGGTTCCCCCAGAGCACCCCACTTCCCTGCCTTGGACGAGTGGTTCCCCTTTTCTCTGTAGTTACGTTCTTCCTAACTCCACTCCGCTCTCAGTTCCTCCTGAGAGCCTTCCCCAGCCCTTCACCCCAACCCTCCGATCACTCACCCTCCTCAGGCCACCAGCACCCCTCCGAACACCGGCCCTCCTCCGGCCACCAGCACCCCCACCCTCCGATCACCCGCCCTCCTCCGGCCATCAGCACCTGTGCTACCTCCACCACCCCATTCATTACACAGTGGGTGACACTGTGTGGTCGCCTGTGTTCTCTACACACACACACACACACACACATACACACACACACACACACACATAAGCTTCTAATGATGAGTAATTTTTATCACTCGTGCCCAGCAATGCATGGTACATAGTCAGCACGTGATAAACCATATAAAGATAACGTACTTCATTCTGGGGGTTAACGTCCTATTTAATATATCATTATTTATTTACATAATTCATTATAAATGCAAGTAACTACCTTGGCCACTTTTGGGTGTGACATCAAACTTTCGAGAGAGCAACATTAAGTTCATCTGTTCGGTGCCAACCACACACCCTTTTGTTGAGTGCCTACTGTGTGCGGGCACGTGGATGTGACAGTCAACGGTTCGAGTCCCTCTGTTCACGGAGGCTGAGTTCTCGCGGGAAGGTGACCATGACACAGGTGAATCGGTGATCACACAGACCCTGGAGGAGGCGGCGGGGAGGCGGCCGAGGGGATGGCCTCCGTGTTAGCCGGGCTTGGGAAGGCCGGTCCGGCCGTGCCTTCCTCACTGTGAGCTGGGAGCCCCGGGAGATGTGGACGGAGTGGGGCGTTTCATCACAATCGTCCTGTGGTGGGTTTGAAGCCAGGGCGAGGGACCGCATCCTGGGTGGGTGGATGGCTGGGGACGGGGTGTGATGGGACGATGGGCTGGCTTCCTGTCATTCCGCCCGTGTCCCTGTGATTTCCAGAGGCCGTGTGGAAGGCAAGATTCGTGGGCAGGCAGCAGGGTGAGCCGATGCTGCCCGCACCACACCCTCGGTCGCTCACACCCAGTCCTCAGGTGCCTGTGCCCCCGTCCTGCAGCCCCCGCTGTCCTCCAGGATTTCCTCTCCATCATCCTGTCTGTTTCGTTCCTCAGGGCTCAGCAACATCCCCCGCAGCTGCCGGAGTTCGCAGCAGCTGCTCTGCCGCTGCCATGCGTTTATGTCTCAAAGACTTGGTGAACCAAATAAATAAGAACACATGCAATTCTTAGGTCAGGTACTAAACTCTCAGGAATGGACACAGTTCTTTAAAAAATAAAAATAAAAACTCACCCGATTTTTAGAGAGAGTGGGAGAGAGCGGGAAAGACAGAGAGAAATAACAAATGTGAGAGAAACACATTGATTGGTTGCCTCCTGTACAAGCCCACAATCAGGTATGTGCCCTTGGCCAAAATCGAACCCAGGGCCCTTCAGTCCCCAGGGTGATGCTCTATCCACTGAGCCAAACCAACCAGGGATGGACACATTCTTATAAACATCACCTACCTGTTACTGGTGACGTTTCTGAATGTTATCAGACAGGATTTCCATACTGTCTTCAAATGCTGGCCCCTCAATGGCCAATGTCTTCACATACTCTGTCAGTACACATACATCCACTTCCTTCTTAAAACTGCTCCTCTGCTCGGCACCTCACGTGCTGTAGTTAAATGTATCACAGGGCATCTAATCATCCCCTTTTTTCTGTGTGTGTGTGTGTGTGTGTGTGTGTGTGTATGAGAGAGAGAGAGAGAGAGAGAGAGAGAGAGAGAGAGAGAGAGAGAGAGAGAGCCCAACTACAGACTGGGAAAAGACAGAAATGTACAGCTCAATGGTAGATGCCAAAGTGCACACCCATATAACCAGTTCAGATGTGGAATATTACCAGTGCCCAGAGGCCCCGTATCTTTGGCACCATCCCTCTTTTATAAAGCAGCTACTTCCTGGTCTTTATTTTTATGCAAGTCACTTCCCTGATTTCTTTTTTCTTTCTTTCTTTTTTTTCCTTTTTTTCTTTTTTCTTTTTTTAGTTTTATCACTATAGCTCTTATCCCTAAACACTACCATTGGGTTTCCCTTGCTTTCTGAATTCCATGGAATCTTGATGGAATCTTGCCCTCTGCATTCTTCTGCATTTGGTTCGTTCTTTCAACTTACGTTTTCGACATTAACCCATCTTGTTCCAGGCAGCTGGAGTGCATTCGTTTTCATTGTTACCTTATCGTGTGCCGTGAATACGCCAGTTTATTTATCCACATGGTTGTGGCTGGCATCGGGGCTGTTTAAGGTTTGAGTCCGTTGGGAATTTTCCTTCGACATTCTTGCGCATGCGTTTCTATTGGGCATAGAAATGGGAGTGGGATTGTATGGTCACAATGCATGCGTGTCTCCAACGTTCATAAGACACACAGTCTGAGGAGAGACCTCAGAGTCCCAGGAGACAATAATTCACGTGGCGAGAACCCATAATCCAGTCCAATACATAATATCAGGGAATGTTCCTTTGCTGAAGAACATTTTAGATGAATCTTTACATCTAAACTACCCTCCAAATATTGGGCAGGAATACTTATAAAGAAGACAGTCAACTAAACTTGCCCTGGTGAATTCCTTCTCTTCCCCCCAGCTTCATTGGGGTGTAATTAATCAATAAAAGGTGTATATATCTGAGGTATATAACGTGATGGTGTGACAGCTGTGTAA